AATACAAAAATTACTATAGTATTACTAATTAATACTATTTAATATACATATTTTGTAATCTCAGATTAAGATTTTTAGATTAAGATTTTGAAATCAAGGTTTTGAGATCAAGATTTTCATGTAATATAAATATAAAAGAAGAAATAAAATATAAAAGAAGGGATTTATAAATGTATTAACTAATTAATCTATGCAATATTATTAAATATAGTTATATATATGAAACGTTAATATTAATGTAGGATATTTGTGATCAAAATTATAAATCTCAGATTTAGGGTGATAAAAGTATATAGAAATAAGAAAAAGTAATAATATAATATTTAGGATATAAATATAAAATTTAGAGTAATAAAATAAAAGTGAGATAATTATATGATTGGATAAAAATAATAATAATTATGTGATAAATGATAAAAATTAATAAAAGAAATTTCATATAATCAAAGAAAGATTATCAAATTAAAAAAATTTATGTTACTATGGTAACAGTATATTGAATAAATATATGTTTAAGTGAATTTTGCAGTAATTAAACAATTATCCCAGTTATCTTATTTATATATGATAAAAATTTCTTTCAAAATTCTATTTAATCTTTCAATTTGATTAGCAATTTGTAGATAAAAAGCTATCAACATAGTCAATTTAGTATCTAATTGATTGAATAATAACTTTCAAAATTAACTGGTAAATTTGATATCTGTCTAAAATAATAATTTTTATAATATTTAATATTATGATTGTGATATATATTGAAATAAAGTGCATTATTTTTGTAAATTTATCAACAAAAACAACAATAGAGTTATAAACTTATTTGATTTTTGGTAATTGTACAATAAAATTTATTGTATCTTGTTCTTATTTATTTTAAGGTATTGAAAGAGATTATAATAAGCCACTTGACTATTGATTACTACTTTTATTGCATTAATATAATTTATAACTGATAACATATTTATGAATATTTTTGTTCATTTTTGACCAGTAAAATTGTTAACTAATATTAGTATATGTCTTGTCAATTCCAACATATTCAGCAATAGTTACTAACTAAAAATAAATAATATTAATATTTTTATACTTGTAGTTATATATTCTAGTACTTTCAATACCAGCAAGAAAATAAAAATATTATATTCAAATCAAATAGCTTCAATTAAAAATTAATATATTTTAAATATTTAATTCAAAAATATATTTTGTCTTTTCAAAGTTTAAAGATCAATTAACAAAATAATCAAAAATTTAATTCAATACAAATCAATATTTAGTTTCTTGATTTTGCTTAAAATTTATGAAAAGTAACTTGAATTACAAGATTTGAAGTTTAATTAAATAATAGTTAGATAATACTTTTTGATGAATTAAAAGTGAAGATAAATATTAATAATACAATAACAAGACATAGTTAGTCAACTTGTTAGAATAAAGATTAAAATTTATTAATTTGTTCAAAGCATGAGAGTGAGTGTGTTGAAACAGCACTCTTATTTATGCAAAATTTTTCAATACATGTTTGATACTATTTAGATTATAAAATATTATGAAAAAGATAAAAAATAGATGAGAGGTAAATATAATATAGATAAATAAAAATAGAAAAAGGTAAATAATGAATAGATAATAGGTAGATAAAAGTAGATAACAGATAGATAATAAATAGATAAGAGTAGATAAGAGTAAATAATAGATAGATAATAGATAGATAATGGATTTATTATTAATAATGTGATATTTATGTAATTAATTAAATAAACTATTTTTATCGATTTAATGCTTTTTAGAGATCTTCATGTTTTCTACTATTTTTGAAAGATTCATTAATTGAAGAATCTTTGACAATAAATGTAACACTATCAATACATTTTTTGTTTGCCAAATAACCTTGACCCAGATTCAAAACCTAACCCTTTTCGCATTGTTGACGTCATCAAAAAATTATCACGTGGCCCGCAAATGCGGTGGTCGCCCTGGTAGAGTCTCATTCAATTGACAGAAGAATCAAGAATGGTCTTTGTATACCCGAGCGAAGAAAGAAAAATCCAATATTTATTAAATTCTAACAATTATATATTTTAATAACATGCAATTATTTTAGTTATGAGTTCTCTAATCTTTTGATACAAATTCCATATGGCCTGACATCTTTGTCTTCCTTGGAAACCCAATATTCACAATCGTCAATCATTTTTAAATTTACTGGGTTCACTCGATTCTGAAATACCATTTTATGTTTCTTCCCATTAAACTTAAATTCTGTTGCATAAAATTCAGCTATATTCACATCAGGCGTCGAATAAATACCACGACCATAAGCAAAACGCGTTCCTTTACTCAATAAATAGCCATCCTCAGAAATTGATCTCGCGTTATGCTCCGCAGTACCATGGTATGACACTGGCCAAGAATCTTCATCAGTGCCAAGCCATTTATCATCTCCATTATTGTACTTCCCAGTAACGTTTAAGGCAATGCGCTTCCATCCACATGGTCGTTTATATGGAACCCCGCCACGCATATACTGGCTTCCATTATCATCGATATTTGTAAAATCGTAATCATATTGTGGGGCCAATAAGGAAGATTCAAAGTAGTAATTGCATATAATTTCGCCACCACGAAGACGTATAACAAGATGTAATGTAGATTCTTTCTGAATATTGTATTCTTTGAGTGTTCTTCCGTCTTCTAATTGCTTACCGGCAAAAATCAAACGTTGTTGGTCTGCCGGAATATCTCCATCCTTATGATTCTGAATCAAACATTTTACATTTTCAACAGTGAAATTTTGTCCAACCTTTAAGGTGATAGTTTTACCACTAAGCGTCTTGACGAACACTTGCATAGAGGTTGTGGTGGTTTGCCCAGTTACGTCTGAAATTGCATTACCAACAAGATTGGATTGATGAAATGAATGCAAGTCAATCTTTTGATAAGTGCCGTCTAATTTATTACGGGTTTGCCTTTTGCGAAATTCTTTTTCTGAAATAAAGTTATGGTTGGGCATTACAGCTGTGAGCGCTGCGTTAAGGAGGTCGATGTCATGAGAATCAGACATCGTTGATGAATTTACAGATATTCAAAGTAGAGATGATATCTCTAGTTTTCAAAAACAAATATTTAGTTTTAAAGACCGCGGACGGAGTTTACGGGAAAATATCCCCGTTTTATGTACAGTACATGTACATTATGGCATTACATGTATACGTACTTGGTTGATTTCCAGTAATTATCAGGTTAAGACCTATTACGTACAATATCGATATTATCGTTATGATTTTTACAGTTGCACTGTATTAACCGAATTTTCCATTTTCTAATGGGGAACTTTTCACATGGATAATAATAAATATGTACAGTACCCACAAAAAGTAACACCCGGTCCAAAATTATATAATATAACATATAAAGTGGAGCTATCTACGTACGTATATCTAAATTTTATATCATTTTAAAACTAATTGATTGTATTTTTGAAAAAATAATACATGTACAAGACTTGTGGCAACTTAAAATGCAAGGACTCTTTTTATTGGAAAGTAAAAAATTTTTCTCATGCTTTATACACTCGGTGGAACAAAGTCACCGGACACATTTTCGCGAAATAATAGTGGGAAAACTAATGTATCTGAGTAGAGATGGGTCGATACACATTATGTGTATATGTACGTAGTTAGTTTTCAGCGTAAGCTGACACATTCGTAAAAATAAAGCAATAACGCATCACTGATAATGCATGAAATGCATGGACATAGTCTAATAAATTTATGGAATAAAATATGATTCTGATTATTCTGTGAAACTTAGGAGACTTTGTTCTCTTGCATAGCGATAGTAATTTTTTCCCATATATGGAAAATTCTATATGTATGCAGGAGTTGTGATCTTATAATGTACGTAGATACATGTATATCGATACGTAATGGTAATTTGTTTTTATTATTGTTTAGAATCATCTCTAAAGTTTTTTGATGATGCTAACAAATTAAAAAAATATAATTTAATGTGATTCTATAATGATAACACATATATAAAATCATGCTTACCAATTTCATTTAATAAATAGCAGGAATTATGATTCCAGCAATAGTGATTAAAAAGTTATCAATTGCATCAAGAGGTTATTTAGATTCACCATTTATATTTGACATTGTGATATTAGATTTTTGTTGAATTTTAATATTATATTTCTTTAGAAAATTGTTACTAGTAATACAACCAGAGACATCAGCATCAATAATTAAATTGATGGATACAATTCTGATCTTAGCTTCACATCAGATAGAGATAATTTTAATCTTTTATTCAACTATTCCAATTACTTTTCTGGCAGTCTTTCATTTTGATCTGGAAGATCATTGCATGGCTTTAGATATTGTTCTGGAGAAGTTTGAATTAGTTATTTGATTGTGATGTTGACCTTACTGATTGTTAGATTATCTAGACTATTATATAGAATGCAATAATTTGAGTAGTGAATACAGATTGTTCAACTTGAATTTTCAGTGGCAAAATATTTGATATTATTAGGTTATTTGATTCAGTTATAACTGTATCTTCATCCTTAGCTGTATCTAATTCATCTAGTTTAATTCTCTTTTGATTTTCAGCTAGATAATCATAAGTGACTAGCAGAGTTAAATTTGTAGAACTTATAGTTTCAGTTTGTTGAGAAAGGTTAAGTACTTGGAAAGCAACTAATAATAGTTGAATCTGAAATAGGAGATTGATTTGCTTATTATTATTATTATTTGATGGTACTGATCAATTAGTAGTAGTATTTATTTTGATAAAATTATTATTATTATTATTAAATTGGTTATTTTGATTGCTCCAAGACTAGAAATGGTGCAGCAAGTACATGATACTTATTTGTTATCTGTTACAACATGTTGCAATTTCAAAATTTTATAAGTTGTAACTAGTTACAACTAGATAATGCTTTATTTATTATTATATTATAACAATTACCATGTTATTTTTATTCAAGACTGTTAATTTCTATTGGAATTCTAATAATAAATACTTTAATTATATGATTTATCACAATTTTTAAATAAATGTTCAATTTTATTATAATTATAATAAGTTAAAGTAAAGTAATTATTATTATAATAATAATTTTGTTTATTATTTCTAGATATATAAGCTGATTTTTTAGATATTTCAAGAATTTCTAATTTATTGATTAGATTTTGGAGTATTATTATAAGTTGATTGAGATTAGTAGTTGATTTGATTTGTATCTAATAATAGGTTAAGGCAGATTCTTTAGAATTTATTTCTTTTATAGTTTTAGTTATATTAATAATATTTAATAGAGTTCCATTAAAATTCATTTTTATCCATTTATAAATTTTAGATTTTAGATCTCTTTTATATATTTGAGTTTTGTAACCTTTTAGATAGACATTAGTTGAATCTATCTATTTTAGAAGAGTATTAAATTAGTTAGTATATTCATCTAAGGATGCTTGCCTAAATCCTTTCAGAAAAATATCATCATAATTTCGATGGGTTACATACTAATTGTTAATTAGAATTTCGACATAATTTTGATTACGACGGGTTTCAAAATTCGTCAGAATTTCGACGGGTTAT